CATACATACATACATACATACATACATACAATATCTTTAACTATCCTAGATCTTTGGGAAGGATCCGATAGTCAAGAGTACTAAATCCAGTCAGGCCTATCTGGAAGGCTGTATGGCAGTAGTGATGATGATGATGATGATACAGAATCTCAATTCATTGCAAAAATTTCAGTACTTAGTAGAGTGCATATATGACAACAATTAATTTAACAATCCAAGATCCTTGGGAAGGACTCAGTAATCAAAAGTGCCAAACCCAGTCAGAATGACTAGGTAGACTGCATGTGTAAATAGCAAGAACAACCACAACAAAATTACTGTATTAAAAATATACAGAAACAATGCAGATCCAAGATTTCAAGCTGCAGATGAGCTCAGGGGCTTCCCAGGTGGTAGTAAATCAGGAGGAATGGACGTCCCGAGTTTAACTTGCCATTAGATGCGGTCTGAGGCTAGCCCCAAAGTATTGGATGCCACTCTGGGCCATCTGCTGCCTAACAACACTACCAGAGGGCAAGAGACGTGACCCTGTAGATCCCCTGTCTTTTAGCCTCTAAAACTCCTTCTTCCATAATACCTTGCTTTGAAGATCCCTCCCCCTCTCAAAAGAGGCACTTTGATAGGCCGTTGCTCTGATTTGGAAAGAAGGTGGGCAGGGGTGTCTGCGGTTTATGGTCCAAAAAGTCAAGGTGGTAGCCACAGTAGCGCCATCAAAATTTTGCCTGTTTTTTTGTCCGTTGGATATAAACAGGTGGAGCTTCACTTGCATCCTTCTGGCCTCCAACTTCATGTCTTTTGACTGTACTCTGTGACACCCCTTCTCTTGATCTTTTAGTAGGTTGCCTGAGGCTCCATATTCTGGTGGCCTGATGACCCTAAGCCAGGACCATGTAAAACAGCCATCTCATGGTCAGGACCATCTCATGAAGAGAGCCAATTACTCAACCTTCCCCATGTTCCTCTGGGGCGATGCCCTATTTGCCCAGTGTCATTTCCTGGCACCAAGCTGCCAACTTGGGTTCCCTGGGGTCTGGGCTGAAAGAGAAAGTCCAAAACATAAGAGCTGCTTGGACCGGAAGACAAAATGTATTGCTTGGACTTCGACAAGGGAACCCTAACGCACTGTGTAAAAAGAAGCAGCCGTCTTTGTTAATGACTCCCCTGGGGCTGTTGAATTTTTCTTTTCTTTTCAGAACTCAAATAAAACCTTGATTTGTGTTTTTTCTCCCCCTTCCTTAAGTTCCCCATTTTGTATTCCAATTTAAATACCAGCTGTATACCTGGAGAGCTCTCTGCAGCTAGTACTTTTCTGTATAATTAAAATAGCGTGGATGTGGGAAAAGAGATGAATCTAATTGTCTCTCAATAATTCTACACCAGTGGAAGCTGTTTTTTTTTTCTTTTTTTTTACTCCCTTGGCATTCTCTTCATTTCCATTCTAGAAATCAGAGAGCAGCAAGTCTGCTATTCCGGGGAAGAAAAGAAGAGAAACGTGCATTTTGGAGTTGGGTTTTTTTGTTTTTTTTAATTCTAGTGCAGGAGTATAAAAAAATCAGTGGGTGTTTGAAGCTTCTCGGTGACCTTAGCTGTCTTCTGCTGAATTGCTGACCATGCCCTTGAACCTCTCAGCAGCAGATTGGAACGTCGTCGTTCTGGTGGACGTCTTTATGTTGGCGCTGTTGGCACTGATGTCCTTTCTATTTTTGTTGCCAGTGGCCTTTTCATGGCTGGTGCAAGGACAAAGCAGGGCCTTCTGTCACAAAAAATGAGATTGATCTCTGCTATGTTAAAGCAGCCGTCCTGCTTGAAAACCATAGAAGTTAGAGCCTAAGGTTGCAAACTGATGCAAATTTGCGTCCTTCGGAATCATCACTGTGGAAAGAGCCGGGCTGAATTCTGAGCAAAGGAATTGCAGAATTGGCTCACATCGTGACTTTAATTTTTGTTTCCCAGGGCTAACGGGTTAAATAGCCCATTATTTATTAAGAACGAAATCGCCCCACTAATCACAAAGTTCAGCGAAATTGGTTGGCAGCTGAAACTGTGTAAAAATGAAACATCACTGCTTCGTTGTTTTAATTTTATGGTATTTTAAAAGCCTGAAAGGGTATTACTGTAGAGTTTGGCATCTAGACAATCTCTTGCTTTTTTCCATTTAAACAAACAAGTTTCTAGTTCTCATAAGTTGTGGTAATGAGCTTTGAAAATGCATTTATGCCTTCTCCCTGTCTCTGTTTTTCACATGTCTAGATAGCTTTTGCTTTGAAAGTCTGCGTAATTTGAAGCAGAATAAATGAGGCAAACAATGGTTTAGATTCCATAATGTGTTCCACATGTGAGTTTCCCTTGATTGCTGAATTGGCTGGGCTTTCTTGCTGTCACTCCACCACCACTGCCTCTGTGCCCTTGTAGAGTATGTTCAAATACTCTATAAGGGTTCAAATGTCAATTTATTTATCAGTCCTTTTGTGGGGCTTTGAACAAGTTGGAGGTGAACAAATCAACCCAGAGTTCTCAGTCAGGGTAGAAACAACCAGGCTCCAATTATCCTACTTTAGACACATGATATGAAGACCCAGCTCTCTGGAGAAGATCTTATGCTGGGAAAGGTGAAAGGAAAGAGAGGAAGAGAATGACCAGCAGCCAGGTGGAGGGACAGTTACAGAGGCAATGGGTGTACCATTGGAAGAGCTGAAGAACCAGGTTGGGGACAGATCATCTTCAAGACTATGTGGTCACTAAGCATCGACAACAAATTGATGGCATGTTGTCGTTGTCGTCGTCATCATCATCATCATCATCATCATCATCATCATCATCATCATCATCTTCCTTTCAGTCTGGGACTCTATAAGAGCAGAGATTATGACTATGGATTATTAAAAGACCATTGTAAGGATTATGTGACAAAGGCATTATATGGTTTACAGAGACAATACAGGCTTCATGCTGTCAAGATCTGTTTCTCTTTTCCATTTTCTTTACTACAGAATTAGGATAAACCAACTGGATTCCAAACATGTTTGGGAGGAAAAGAGCTTTATTTGTTTTAGTATCCTAATTTTGGGAGAACTGTTGGGAAGACCTGAAGGACCAGTTTGGGACAGTCATGGAGATGATCTATTTATGTGGTCGCTAAGAGTCAACCCCGATTTGATGACACTGAATCAATCAGTCAATCAGTTTGGGGAGAAAATTATAAATCTGTTTCTGCTGTGGTATAAATATATGAAAGTCAAATATCTTGCAAATCTAATATAAATCAGCTAGCATATAATGAGAATTTTCTAAAAGCCATACACAAATTGTTGCTATTGTTGTTATTGTTAGAACACTCTTCCCTATCCAGATAACTCTTTTTTGAAGTAGTTGACCCATTTTAGAGAAAGGGAAACCGGGGCGTAGAGAATTGCCTTCCTTTAATTGATTTTGATTGATGGTGTGCCAGCAAATCAACATTGACTCTTAGCAGCCACATAGGTAGACCTTCTCCAGGGTGGTCTGTCCTCACCTGGCCCTTCAGGTCTCCCAGTGGTACACCCATCACCACTGTAATCAAGTCAATCTATCTTGCTGCTGGTCATCCTCTTCTTCCACCTTTCCCAACCTTAGAGCCTTCTCCGGAGACCTGGGCCTTTGTATAACATCTCCAAGGTAGGATAATTTGAGCCTGGTCATTGTGCCTCGAGTGAGAACTCTGGGTTGATTTGTTTGATGATCCATTGGTTTGCTTTCTTGGCTATCCAAGAGTCTTCTCCAACACCATAGTTCAAAGGTGTCAATGCTTTTTCTTTCTTCAAAGTCCAACTTTTGCTTCCATAGAGTGTCCCAGGGAAAACTGTCATCTGCACAGTTCTGATCTGTGTAGGAATAGACATGTCATGGCATCTGAATATCTTTTCCAAAGCCTTCTTTGCTACTCACAACTTTAACACCAGGCCTGTTCCTGAACCCTAGCTTTGAAATTGCACATTCCCTGGGTAATTTTCAAACCACCTGTGACTTTTTCCCCCTATTTAGGTACTCATCGCTTCCCACCTGCCCTCCTACGAACTCCGTCACAATCAGGTGGAATCCATCTTCCTTTCGGCCATTGATATGTACGGACATCAGTTCTGCATAGAGAATCTGCAGGTACGGTATGGAGCTTTAGGTCAAAGCAGGCATTTTTGTGATGATTTTCCAGAAATCCTACAGGTAAAAAAGGTATATTGTGTAATGTTAACTTTAATTTCAGCTACATTTTCAGTGTGCAACATTGATGGGTGTGTCTTTCCTTCAGCAATTCTTATTGCTATTCATTTGACAAGAGCTATGCTTAGAGTAGACCTGTTTAACCTCAGAGTCAATATAATGGCTAACTGCTTCTCTTATGTCCCTTTGCTTTTTTCTTGAGGCCTTGCCGCATTCTTTCAATCTAGCTAAACAAAGACCAAGTGCTATTTCACAAAAATCTTCCCCCTCCTCATCGTTTTTATTCCCCCCCCCTTTTTCCTTTTGTGCTTCTCCCTTAATAAGAAAGAACCAACTGGTGGGGTGAGTAGGGGAAGGCTTAAAAATAGGAATACAATTTTTAACCTTTATGATAGTGCAGGAATGTCTGAGGGCAGCTCAAAAAGTCAAGATGGGGGCTATGGGACTGAAAGCCTGAAATGCACATAAAAAGGGGGTAGAGCTTCAACCATGCAGGCAAGATCACCATCTTGACTTTTGTGACCTTTCCCTATGGCCCTAATTCTAAGCTTCCCCCCACTCTTGGCATGGGCCATTTGTTCAAACTGTAGGCACATTCAAACTTTGTTTGCTAAATTCTTCCTTGTGTACCAGTAAAGATTTACAAGAGTTCTTCTGTTTTTCTTAGTTTCTCATGCAATTAATAATGCTGGTGACAAGAAAGAAAAGTTCCTAGAGATGGGACCTGTACAAAAATCTGATCAGAGGCAACCAATTACTTATAAGGGATAAACCAGCTTTCCCCAACTTGCATTTCAAGTTCCATAATCCCTTGGGTGGCATACTGGTTGGGGAATTATGGGAGTTGAAGTTCATGCATTTGAAGAGTTTCAGGTTGAGAAAAGCTTAGAAAAAGGAAATACAGGTAGCCTTTGTTTAGCAATTACAATTGGGACTGGTGACACGGTCGTTAAGGAAAGCAGTCGCTAAGTGAAACTGCAACTGTGCTTATGATCTTACTTCAGCTTTCCTTTACTTTACAGACCTGCAAAGGTCATAAATGGAAGGATTGGTTGTAAAGTTACTGTCGTGACTGCGAATGGTCACTAAATGTGGCAGTCGCTAAGTGAGGACTACCTGTATCCTAAAGCCAACCACAGAAGAAATGTCGGTAGATGAAGACTCCCTTGAGTCGAATATACACAAATACCCATAAAGAGGCTTTTAACAATTTATTGTTAAGCTATTGAGGTTAGAACTTCTGCTAATCAAGTTAGAGTCAATAACAGAATTATCAGTGGATCCAGATCTGTGGGCATCGTATATAATCCAAATAGATCAGGTGCAGAAATAGGGTAGAATCATCCGCCCACAGTTACGAGTGTGATTGGAGAGAGGCAAATCCAGCACAGTGACTCACGCAGAGAGGCCATGGACATGCTCCTCTGTAGGTGAGCATATATCCTGTGGCTTGGCAGTAAGAATGAATTATATAATTGGTTTTTTTTAATGCAAACATGCATAATAAAATGGCTTATAAAGGCAGTAAATAATAAAGGCAACTGGAGAAAGCAAACATAAGGCAGGGAACCTGGCCATAGATACAGTCAACACCTCTGTGAAAGGGAGTCTTTACTAATTGTAGTGGAATTTATACTCCAGTATAAATAGATATTTGCATGTTAGGAAGAAAAACCTTTGCATCTGGCTGTCCTGTTTCTTGCATGATGAGCTGGCCCAGCCCCTGGTTTTGAGGCAACAATAGAGACCGAAATTCTGTGGTTTAGGGGGGAAAAAAGTCTCTTCTCTTTTATTCCCCCCCTAGAAACTCATCCTTTCCGAGACCTCCATCTTTGATGTGCTACCAAACTTCTTCTATCACAGCAACCAAGTGGTGCGGATGGCAGCTCTGGAGGTAGGTAGAGTCGAACATTTTCTTTCGCTGGCGAGCCAGTTCTTCCTCCAATTCAAGCATGTAGCTGAGTCACTTTTCCAAAGGCTTCTCTGCAGCCTTCTGCTTTTTAATTGGAAGGAAAGCTACGTTGCTTAGAGGATTTCCATCCTGTGAGCCATACGATGAAATTGCAGCATTGAACGAAAAGATGCATGGATGTTCTAGTTTTGTATTGCCTGTTTTGTCCTACTCAGTCACCAGAAACAGAGCTGAAGAGGACCCATTTTGCCCTGAAGCTTTTGGAGAGCATAGGTCAGCTTATGAGACACGGCCCTGATATTTTCAAGTCATTTGTGTTTAGCCACTTGCTTTTTAAAAATAGCATACTATGGCATGTTTGTTACACCAAGACCAAGGTCTGGTTGACTAAAAAACAGAAGGTTATAAAACATAGGAAAAAGGTGCTTTCTGTCCAGAGTCCTCAAACATCCCCTTGAAAGGAGTTGTCTGGGCATCCTTGTCCTTGAAGCAACATGAGATCTTCTCAGAGGTGACCCCTTGGTGCTACATAATGAAATTAAAGAGGAAGAAGGAAGTGTGTGTGTGTGTTTGTGGGGAGACAGGGTTCAAGGCAGCTCAGCATTAAATTAGTGACTAGAATTTCACTGTTCACGCTCATTCTCAGATCATCTCTCGCTCTTTTGTCACACATTGCCATTCGCCTGTCATCACCACATCTTTCACCAGCAGGTCTACAGTGTCGGTAGCGGATGTGTGAAGAAGTCTTCCCCTTTGTCTCCATTTCTTCGTCAGCACACAAATTATGGGACTTGGATGGCCTTAAAAAGAGAGTCAGAAAGCTCTTGGAGGGGAAGGGCTACCAGGTCTGGCAGTTGAAATGGTTGGGTATGGCCTTCAGTTGTGAGGACATCATGCTTAATGAGGACTACTGTAGTATAGGGGTTAAAGTGCTGGGCCAGGAGCAGGGAGACCCAGGTTCTAGTCCTTGGGGGCCTCTGGGCTGGTCCCTCCCTCTCAGCCCCTGAGCCAGTGTGGGGCAGAGGGGAAGGAACTGGGAGACCCGGGTTCAAGGCTCTCTTCAGCCATGGAAGTTCACTGGATGACTTTGAGCTAGTCAGTTTCTTCCTGCCCAGCCTACTTCCTAGGATGGTTGTATGATCTGTACTGGGATGACCCAGGTTCTAGTCCTTGCTAGAACTAGTCCTGGGGGACTTTGGGCCTTTTTTTCATCCCAACCTACCACATATTGTTGTGTGGAAAATTCATAGAAGTGACATATACATTGGTATAAATATGTGTATGGAGGAAGGCTAATTACCTTGAAAAGCCACTGTGGTGACTATGGTGAAGGTGCTGGACTACTATTGGGGAGACTTGGGCTCTAGTCCCCCCTCAGCCATGAGGGGGATGCTCACTGGGTGATTTTGGGCCAGTCCCTCTCTCGCAGCCTAACCTGCCTCACAAGGTCGTTGTGGGGAAAAATGAGAAGAAGGATTAGTATGTATAACAAAGACAAGGATGCAGATCTAACAAACCCGGCTGAGGAATGCAAATAAGGGAAAGACTCTCTCAAGTTGTGGTTGTCTCCTGGGCATGTTCATGTCATTTTCTTGGCAGCAACATGGCACTGGTTTGTACCTTCTTCTGGAATAAACTTCCAGTCTAGCCTATAGGCTGAGATTTCCTAGTGGTCTCCCATCCAGACACTCCTGAGACCTGACCCTACTTTGCTTCTAAGCCTTGCTCCCTGCTGAGATATAGAAGACAAGTGAGCCCTCATCACCTCCTGAGTTCCCACTGGAGTGGTGCTGGATGAGGCTGGCCTGGGGTCCTGCCTGGCCTCACTCTTCTTCTGTTCCTCTTCCTTTCACCCAAACTATTGATCAAAAGGAACCCCTCGGTGATGCATTTGGGGCCCAACGATTCCTCTGCAAAGCCAGTTCAGAAGGTCAGGAGCAGCCATTTTTATTTCGATTTGCCTTGGGTGAATAACAACCCATTATGCAGACGGAGGTAGTAGATCTCTGGATTGGATCACAGCAGATCCCCACCATGATGTATCATACAAGGAACATTTCCTGTTGGAAAGAGAGGGAGATATTTCAAAGTCCAGGCCTGGTCCTTGCTCTACATCAGTGCTTCTCAACCTTTGCAGGTTGAAAATGCGTTGTACTTTTCACCCCTACTTTCACTACCACACAACCCACCGCGCTCTCTGTACTTG